CCGTCCATTATAAAAGGGGAGGGGTGTAAGTTTTCCACACAGCAAAAGTTGCAGTATAAAACACAGCAAAAGTTGCAGTGTAAAACACCAAAAGTTGCAGTGTAAAACACCAAAAGTTGCAGTGTAAAACACAGCAAAAGTTGCAGTGTAAAACACAGCAAAAGTTGCAGTGTAAAACACAGAAAAAGTTGCAGTGTAAAACACCCAAAGTTGCAGTGTAAAACACCAAAAGTTGCGGTGTAAAACACCAAAAGTTGCGGTGTAAAATTTTGTACTTGTCGGCCACGGTAGATATAATTTGATAATCCCCTTAACAATACTAAGTATAGCTTTGCATTTTCGTTTTGATATTGACAAAAAACCTCAAAGATAGACGAAAAATATCCAGACTATGCATGATGTACAAAGTGACTAATAAACTGGTGGATGTACCAACTACTAAGTACCGAATACAAGCTTAGACAAGAACAAGAAATAGCCATGTCTTCAAGTACCAGAGTTATCAACCAAGGATTGAGGTGTTCAAAAACTCATTCTTTCCTAGAACTATCGCAGAGTGGAACTCGCTGTCACCAAGTACAGTAGGAGAATTCACAAGTTTCCCATCCCCAGAATGCATTGCGAAAACAAGGGTCTAAACCTCATTTGCATAGGACAGGAAGGTATCGGAATGGTGTATCGGACTGGGGATGGGAAACAGCTGCGAAGCTGGTGTGTAATGCCGAAGGGCGATTACATCGGCTATACAAATACAAATACAGAAGTGGCAATGTAGCACGATGTTTATATCCGCCTCTTTTCTTCTCAGCACTTCCATCAGGGACGAAGTCAGTTAACGTTTCCGGTCTGAGTTCCAACACGCTGTACAAGTTCCGGGTCATGGAGTTGAACCCGTTCGGTCTAAGTGACCCCAGTCTTCCCACCGGAGAGGTCCGCACTCTACCTGCACGTAAGTCTCCTGTTTCTATACATCCACCAGTTTCCCATCCCCAGAATGCAATGCGAAAATACGGGGGGAACCTTCATTTGCATATAGGGCTGGAAGGCATCGGAATGATCCTGTTGACGTTAAACAGCTTGCTTTCACTGTGTTTTGGGGGCATTTTATGCTCAACATTAATTAAATTACTATGGGCCGAATCTGACAACAAATAGAGAATGAAGTTTTAGTGTTCGTTTCAACATAGAACATGTGGTTTGTAACGTTACAGCATCAGTATAGCGTTACCACTATAACGTTACAAACCACATATTAAAAGAAATTAATTCTCTATTTGCTTTCAGATTCAACCCATAGTAGTTTAATTAATGTTGAGCATAAAATGCCCCAACACCTCAAACACAGTGAAAAACAAGCTGTTTAACGTCAACAGGATCATTCCGATGCCTGGAGAAGTAACATTTGCAAAGCAAATGCATAATATTTACCTTAGGACATGGTCTGCTCTGTTAATTCTTACTCAAACACATTCACATACATGTGCTACTGGTACATGGTGACAGGAGTAGAGCAGACCTGAAATTGCAACATTATGTAACCCAACACCAGTCACCATGGTGACAGACGTCAACAAATCATGTCATTGGTCAGGTCATAGATCACTGTTTGGAGAAGAGAAGAGGAAGAAACAGAGCAAAAACAATGTTTTCCTTCCGTAAACATAATAATTCAAAACTATCTTTACTAACCAAATCTGCTATGGGCAAGAAATCTGCTATGGGCAAGAAACATATTACCTTTATTATTATATTAGATAACTTTGAAATCCGTAAAGCGATAACTTTAAGCGATAACACTCAAGAATCGGCAGTCACAAATTGAATATAGAAATAGACAGAAACCATAACATAGCCCCTGAAAAAGGTTCTGTCTATTTTGTCTAAAGCAAATTGAAAGTGAATTTCACTTTGTCACGGAATGCTCTAGATATGATGTTTTATATAATAAGCTATTCTTATTTATGGAGTCAAGTACAACAGATTTCAACAGACTTGATGCTAATTAGACAGATTTATGTCTGTATGAAGTGCAAATAAGAGAATCTCTGTCAAAAGTACTTAAAGAAACCGTTTGTTTAGACAATGTACTACATATGTGACTAGACTAGAGCACCTGAGGACAAGTGGATTCATCTAAATTAGCATCTGTGCTTCTTCAAAATTAACACGTTTTCTAAACCGTTTACATGTACATGTAACGTTACCAAAGTTTAAGCAGACAATCTCTCAGAAGCTGACGCTTCTCCAAGCTTACAATTTTGCAACTGAGTCGTTACTGTGATAAATGATGTTATGAAACGTTTTCTATCACTATCAGCTCCAACCAAGAAGCCAGTTGTAGGCGGAGGCGGTGGAAATCGCGAGGACCTGCGCATCACCTGGGAAGTAAGTCATTAACAGTTACATTGTACATTCCTTATTCAACCGTTGTATCATTGCATCGCTGTTTCAATGTGAAATTTCTCCAAAGTTTTCTGTTCAAGCTATTTCGAGACAAAATAATGGCATTCGATAAGGCCATGTTGATTTAATTATATGGATGACATCCTCTGGGAACCCCAAAACTGATGCGAACGTGCGAATAAAAAATGTTTGGCAAAAAAGTTACTTTCATTATGAAATTTGCGTGATAATGAAGTAATAACACAGACTATGGCGAATAATCTAGTCTTCAAATTCATTTCTTTACATTTCGTCCTTTTTGTTTGATTTTGGCATTCTACGACATTGGTATCGTTTTCCAATATTTCTTTTTGCAACTTACGGTATATATTTGCTCATTTTGCAACTGTTTTGTACCATTTACAGTATGGTTGAAACCTTTTTTTTTGGAAACGGTCGAAAATTCATGCGCGCGCGAATGCCATCCATGTAATCAAATCTACACGGCATAACAAGAAATTAGCAGCCTACTGTAAAATAACCGAGAAGAATGTTTTGAATGTATAATTCGCACTAAAACTACTGTAGGGGCAGTAAAAATTGTTTTGGCCAGCACGGGGGTCGAACCCGCGACCTTCGCGTTATCAGCACGACGCTCTAACCAACTGAGCTAACCGGCCAGTCGTCTGATTGAACTTGCCATCATTGTGCTTCATCATTTACTGCCCTCCTCACTTTAATCCAGGATATAACATACTACTACAGGAAAATGTTTCGCATCCTCTTTTCAGATGTATACTAAATGATTAGTACAGTCAAACCTGTTAAGGTGACCACCTCGAAGCTGGCCAGCTGGCCATGGTGACCGCTTTTTCTCGGTCCCAAAAATTTTCCCCATTGACGCCAGCATTAAGGAACCTACCCAAGGTGACCACCTCTCCAAGGCGGCCGTAGTCGCCCTGAGTTGGGTCCGCTCAAGGGCCCAATACCTGCTCATCGTGACCACATCAAATTCGATCATGTTGATTATTGATGATAACTAATGAGAAATCATGGAGAAACCAGCCAGTTTGCCTCGACTGCTGGACAATTTTTTTTGTTCCATGTGCCAGCCTCCCTACATGCATTCACCACAGACCTGAAGATGCTTACAGCATTTGACATTAAAACATCTCGACTTGGAAACCATTTATGTCTCAGTCATGTTGTGAGATGACCCTCTTCAATTAGACCACCTGTCCAAGGTGGTCACTTTTCTTTGGTTCCCTGGGTGGCCGGCTCGGACAGGTTTGACACTAATTTGCGACAACTTTTGTGGAAAAAAAGGGCCCTGCTGACTATTTGTTATTCCCCTGTACCCGCAGCCGTTTGAGAAGAGAGACTACGGAGGTCCCGGGTTTGGTTACCGGGTGATGTTCCGCAGGAGAGGCGTCAGTACCTGGGGCAGGGATGAGATCAGGACTAACGAGAGTGTTGAACTGGCTTCATACGTGCACGGTCCTACCCGGTACTACGTACCTTACGACGTACGTATACATATACATTTTTCTCTTCAGAAGTACAGGGGGTTAAAATCATCTTTATTTCAATATACATGTATATACAAGATGACTCGTTGAAGTACACCTAGGCCAGCCCTTTATCTCATTAAGAGGAGGGCACAAGGTAAGTAAAATGTAACAAGTAACTGTGTGCATCGGACATTAAACTTTCGATTAAAATTGTTTTCTACACATACATTTCATTTATACGTATACTTACAAAAATGTTTTATAGATCTTAAAGATTAAAAAAAAGAATCAAGCCTGTTGCATCAAATTTATCTTTTACAAGAGAATGTTTCTACTACATGTATATGTTAGAATGGATGGATTTTTCAAGCTAACCGACATCTATCACACCTTAGTTGTCCTTCTGTAAGACACCTGGAGCCGTATAGTTCCCGTTTAGAACTTTTATGACAACTTGCCACCACTACAAGTTTATTATGTTTACCGATGGAAAAGATATTGTTTTTGCTTTTTTTCTTCGTCTTCTTCTGCAAAGGTCAATGACCTGAACCAGACTGTTGCCATGGTAACTAGTGTTGGGTTACACCATGTTGCAATTTTATAGCAGGAGGGATTTAGCTTCCTGTCTGACCATGTATATGAAATTCAAATTGTGTTTCAGTAAGATTTAACAGAGCAGATTATCCGAAGATAAACATTATGCACTTGCTTTGCAAACATTACCTTTCTAATGTTTGCGATAAAACTTCTTGGGAAAGCATTGGTAACAGTTTATAAGCAAAAGACATGGAAAAGTCGGCAACGTTGCCTTATGATCAGTCCAGGCCGCCATTACAAATTTTACGATATTATATATAATTGGAAATACGCCCTCTACAATATGACTCTGAAACTCATAAAATAACACAACCAATTGGGAAAACAATCGAGGAAAAACGAAAAATTTATTCTGAATTTTTACATCTTCTGACAATTATACCGATGTATTTCTACAGGTCAAAGTACAGGCTTTTAACGACCTGGGGAACGGTCCTGAGAGTGACATGGTGACTGTTTACTCTTCAGGAGGACGTAAGTATACAATAGTACTACTGTCATCCTCGAGAGTTTGAATTGATTTCTTTATTATATTGATATCGCTAAATCTACACTAATGTAACGTTGCTGTATACAGCACTTTGACAGAACATACTGCCTCTGCGCGAAACCCTAATTTTTCACGATTTTCGTTGGATGTCTGGTCAATGTTGCCTTAGAATTTTAGCCTTAAATCTTCTTAGCTATAGGTTCGCTCCCAAAAATTCGCTCTTGTGGCTATTAGTTTTGCCCATTCCAAAACTATAGACGCCATCCTTAATGGTACTAGCCTGGAGTCCAGACTTGGCTATTACGATACGAGAATACGCCCTTAAAGTTCTGTTGAATGCAAGTACGAGTACATAACGGGTGTCTGGCAGATGCAGTACGTCTACTACTATATTGGTGCTCCAAGTCATTCATTAACATGTTCTTCTGAACCTATATTAGCTCCAGGACGGATAAACGCCGTGCAGATGATGTACACCAGTCACTCCAACGCCACGCTGTCCTTCTCACCGCCACAGTACCGGGGGAACCTGCTGTACTACGTCATACGTTACTGGAAGTCTAACGAGAGGGCCAACAGTTCGTATGATCCCGTCAACTACCAGGTCGTACCCATCGAACAGGTAAGGGAGGAAGATTTATCATGCCAGCAGATTTTGGATGGCATCTTAAGAATTATACTATGATGTTATGTTATGCTGAGGTCACATTTCCAAACCGGGGCCCGGACGGGCTGTTTGCGTAAAAAAATCAACAATTCTTGTCAGGAATATACACAAATAGTACTAATGATTGTCTTTTAAACTTTGTTTGGGTTTTGTTGTCTTTAATATTGTACTTTTCGTCCCCGAAAGCTGCCCGGCCGGGCCCCGGTTTGGAAATGTGGCCTCAGCTCAACAATTGTACAATGATACTATCTGGTTGATGATTCACTGAAAATCACTCGGATGGATGAATGGCGGACCCCCGTCTCGTATTAGCCACACGGTGATTTACATAATCACCCCTAATATATATTACGCGAGCCATGCAAAGCAAAGCCGCATTGCACATGTTGAGGATGTATGACAAACAACAAGAATTTCACAACGTACAACGCATTACATCTATTAGTAAGTGCTACATAACAACAAACATGCATATATATACTACAAAAAGACATATACTGAACTTTACTGATATTTCTCGATAACAGGCCCGCGTTAGACCAGTCCGCTATACCGAGCTGGAGCCGCTCAACCCGTACGTCTGGCCGATCCCTGCCGACGAGGAGCCGAGGAGGTACCGACGGAATCCCGACGAGCCACACCTTCGGGTCCGAAGGGCCGACGCCGGGCCACACTACGGCGTCGTCACAGGCCTCGATCCGGACCAGCAGTACAGGTTTTCGGTAGGACTACTTCGTCACAAAAAGTTTTTACGTTCAAGGATACGCTGTACACATCATTGTGTAACGATTTGCAACAAAATATGTCAGTGAGATGTTTTTAACGGTGTTGTTCAATGCCAATTATGACCACTTCTAGGCCCTGAGCTAGGTGTTCAGACAGATACGTGACTATGCCAGAAGATGTCGGTGGATATTCAATCTGAAAACTTGAGGATTGTATTTGAAAAGGCATGTGTTTGGGAGGAAGATCCATAGTTTTGCAGTCCGGGGAAAGAAGCTGTTGTTGTAGAAGGACTTTGAGACAAGAATTTGAACGGTGTGACTATGTGAACTGCAGGAAGACTTAGCGGCACGCTGAAAAGTTCTCCTGAGTGGTTGGACGATTGGTGAGAATTCTTCTGATCAGCGCCGGTGAAAGTGATTAGATTAGAATGCGAAGCCACAATAAAGGAAGCTAAGTGCGTTGATATCACATTGTAAAATCTTACAGAATGATGCTTTCCATGCAGGTTCGAGCCCGTACAGACGGAGGCCGGGGGGACTACAGCAGGGAGGTTTCCGGGAAAACATTGGCGAACGCCGCGCAGTCCAGGGCAGCGGCTGGCGGACGACTAAGTAAGGGCTATTATATATTAAAAATACCTAGCTGCACGATTTAAGTCCCCTTCCGATAACTTTGAGAGTTTCCAACAATGCCAGCTATTTTCCATACTAGAAATACTAGAAATGTTAGAAACATTTACAATATTAGAAAAACTGTCACATATGCATGTTTCAAGTAGCATCCAATACTTTTCGCCAGTGAGTTCTAACATTTGTTATCTACTTATCACAGACCAGCCGTGGTTGCCGACGCTACTCTGGGTCTTCCTGGCTCTGCTGATCTTACTGTCCCTGCTGTGCTGCTGTCTGGGGTGCTACTGGTACAAAAATGTGCGGCGACACACCAAGCTAAAAACAACAAGCAAGGTACACTTCATACACTAGTACGTCCGTCCGCAGTACACAGATCACCTTTACAATGGATTCTCCACAAAAGTTTGAGTCATAATCTCACCTCTCGATTCTCTGTTTCAGGTACCAGCAGAAATATCACTGGACAACATGGCTACCAACAGTAAGTTCTTACGTGGAATAATGACTGGACTCATTGATTTTTAAAGATTTAATTCACAGGATACTAATTTATCTCTGACACCTTTGACAGATCATATTTAAGTATATTCATTAACATGTTCCGACTTTTTATTGTTTGGAAAATTATGACACTCGTTGCTATTATCATTCACACATTTTACACCATGGCATTTGTATCATATCATATCATTTCTTTTTCAAGACAATGGCAACATGCATTGGATGTTTTTAACTCTTTCTTCCCAGGAATGACGCACGCTCACAAAAAGCAGCTCCTTCGTCACAAACCTACTCTGGTGAAGACAGTAGATCCAGAACCAGTCATAAACCATCTGGTCCAGAAGGAGGTTTGTACTTGTGACTTTTCTCCCATAGACAGCATACCGACTAAAATACATGTATTCTAAAAAGTCTGTTATACCTGTTATACCACAGGCTACTTTTTATATTTTAGTAGCCTGTGGTAGATATTCAAGGATTTATTGAATTGAGGTTAAGAAGAATCTGTTTAATTCTCATTTGAATGTAATTCTGAACTTATTATTATTTTTTTTTTTAATTTTTTTTTTCTATATCTTTATTCAGTAAATCACATGCACAATACATTTTAACACTGCAAATTTAAAACGCGAATTTACATCAATACCTGGTTATATACACTTTACGACTATACAGCAGTAGGTGATCATAAGACATACAGGAGATATTACATAACCTAAACTACATAATTACAGAACAGATGTGGGCGAGTCAAAAGGAAATGTCGATAGTCTGTGTTTTACGGCATGGAACGTGGGGTTGATATTGCTAATGGCGGTGCAGAAAAGGTAAAATTTTGCTTGCAAGATACAACTGTTCAGTGTTTTATTGTTTTGGAGGGGGGAGAAGTGACCATAAATAATTTCATTGTTGGAGAGAGCCTCGGGAAGCGTATGATCCTTTTTCCACCAGTCCATAAACTCTTTCCAGAAATATTTGGCAGTGTGGCATTCAGCAAATAGATGTACTATTGTTTGTTTTTCTTCACAATATGGGCATTGGTCGGAGTCTTTTATTTTTACCTTCTTTAAATATACATTGGTAGTCAAGAACCTGTGTAAAATTTTATATTGAAAGTACTGTATTTTGGTTTGGTTTGAGCAAATGTAGGGTAGCATGTAAACTTTTCTTATGTCATCTTCCTCTTGTATACAACGAATAATTTCATCCTGCCTTGAAGGTGGCTGCACAATTTTATTTACGAAAAGCTTATAAAATTGTTTACATTTATAGGTAAGTAAAGACTGGACATTGCTTTCCTCGTTAGTGTGTCTCAATAGCGCTCTTTTCCAACTAGAGGGAATTGAGGCGCAAAGACCGTAATATCTTAATATGTCGGCAGGGTTTAATTCAAGTCCAGTTTTCCTCGTAATAACATTTGGGGTCAGAAAGTTTCCCTCGACATCAGTAATGTCTTCTATCTTCCGTATTCCGTACAAGTACATTTTGTTCCAAAAAACAGATTTTTTTCCTTGTAAAATATACTGATTATTCCACAAAAACTCTTTTTTAATTTCGGTCATGGTTTGAGGGCAATGTGAGTTCAATTCTTCCCAGGCTTCGAGTATCTTTATGTAGAAGGTAGGTATGTTTTCAAGATTCAGAGTTTTAATTGAAAAGTTGCATTCAAAAAGAAAAGCTCCCCCAAACTGAAGGAAGTGAGATTCTAAAGCTTGTGTCGTACAGATTCTCTTTACCCAACTTGCTCTTAAGGCCTTAACCATACTAGCAAAATCCATCATTTTTAATCCCCCTTTGTCTTTCTCTCCTATCAAAGTTGAAAATTTCACCTTATGTGTTTTGTGGTTCCATACAAAATTTAATCCTATGTTGTTAACTTTCCGTTCGAAATGTGGGGTGTTGTGAGAACAGAGCAATTATAAATCAATTTTGAAACAGCTAAACACTTGTATATGAGTATTCTCCCTATTAAGGTTAAGTCTCTTCCTGACCAAACTTTAAGTAGATTTTCCATTTTCGTTAGTTTTTCATTAAAATCGAGCTCTTCACATTTTTTCTTGTTGTAGGAGAAGTGTACACTGAGACACTTAATAGGTCTATCTGGCCAGTGTACGTCAAGTGGTTTGTCGTTTCGTTCTTTATAGCTCCCGATCCACATAGCCTCCGTTTTCCTTTTTGCTGGCCTGCAATCCAGAGCAGTGGCCGAACGTTTCTATCGTTGCCAGAGCTCGTTTTGCCGAAGTAACACTGTTTGCGATTATTGTCGTATCATCAGCATACATGAGATTATTTGTCATCTGATTGTTTATACTTATGCCCTCTATACTTGTATCCGAACGTAATTTACATGCTAATAGTTCCAGGCCTAATATGAACAGGAGACCCGAGAGGGGATCCCCCTGTCGCACTCCGCGTTTCAACGTGAACCAGTCGGAAGAAAAACCATTGATTACGCAACTACAAGAGTTTTTATACAACACTGATACCCAATGTCTGAAAACTGGACCAAATTTGAAAGTTGTAAGTGCATTTTCCAGATAATTCCATTCCAGGGTATCAAAGGCCTTTCTGAAATCAACAAATAAGGCGATACCAGGTGTTTGTGTTTTTTCGGTCTCTTGCATTATATCCCATATGCGTCTGATGTTAGTGCCAATATATCTTCCTTTTACATATCCTGTTTGGTCTTCATGTATAATGGATGGTAATAAAGGTTCAATGCGTAAAGCTCTTTTCCAACTAGAGGGAATTGAAGCGCAAAGACCGTAATATCTTAATATGTCGGCAGGGTTTAATTCAAGTCCAGTTTTCCTCGTAATAACATTTGGGGTCAGAAAGTTTCCCTCGACATCAGTAATGTCTTCTATCTTCCGTATTCCGTACAAGTTTGTGTTTTTTCGGTCTCTTGCATTATATCCCATATGCGTCTGATGTTAGTGCCAATATATCTTCCTTTTACATATCCTGTTTGGTCTTCATGTATAATGGATGGTAATAAAGGTTCAATGCGTAAAGCTAGACATTTAGCCAAAATTTTGTAGTCTGTATTTAGTAATGCTATCGGTCTCCAGTTTTCGAGTTTTCTGCAGTCACCTTGTTTTGGGAGGAGGCGGATGATCCCTCGTTTCTGTGAGATTGACAATTCGCCCTCCACAAGTGCAGTATTAAAAGAATCGACAACTTCATTTTGGATCTTATCCCAAAAGTACAAAAGAAACTCAGACGACAAACCATCTGTTCCGGGTGATCTATTTTTCTTCTTTGCCATTTGTTTTAAAGCTGTAAGTAGCTTCTTTGACTGTTATATTTCCTTCGCAACTATCCCGCTGTTCTCCTGTTAGTTCGTTTATTTTGTCGTTTGAGAAGAATTCTTCAAAATTTGGGTCATCAGGATTTGCTTCTTTAGATGTATATAGTGATTCGAAAAATTGTTTCTCCTGATCCAAAATCTTACACGGATCCGAGATTACTAAATTATCATCTGTCACAAGCTCGTTGATACATTTCTGTTCATAATTTCGTTTCTCTAAGTTTAGAAAGTATTTAGTGCTTTTTTCACCCTTCTCGTGCCAACGGCATCTGCTTCTTATGATAGCTCCTTTTACTTTTAAACATCTAATCTCATCTAACTTTTCTTTAGCACGACTATATTTACACCAATTTTCTTGAGTGGGGTTTGACTCGTATTCCCTCAAGTGGGAGTTTGTTTGCTTTTCTGCTATGTACTCGTCTTTTTTTCTCTCTTTTGCTTTCTTTTTAGAGTAATACATGGTAAATGACCGTATTTCCATTTTTATCAAGTCCCATCTTAATCTTTTGTCCTCAACTTGGGAGTATTTCACCTTAGCATCTTCAATTTTGTGTTTCATTTCATCAGTGTAATTTGTATCATTAAGAAGTGTATTATTGAATCTCCAAAACCCTGGGCCTCTTTCACGCGCGTTTTTAGGTTTAAAGTGTACCTTAACTGCAGAGTGATCGGGTGACGGTGCATGGATAATATTCGCGCTGCCACATCGGACTTTTAGACTTTCTGATACGAAAATGTAGTCCAATCTGCACATTATATTTTGATTCGCATCCCGCCAGGTATACCTTCTCTCTTCGGGGTTCTTTTCCCGCCAAATGTCAATTAGGTCATGCCCCTTTATCAAAAGATTAATAGCTTGTATTGTTCGAAACTTTGAACTTCTGAACTTATTCTGTATGTCTTTTTAATGAATTGTATTGTTTCACGAGCCCTGGAAGATTGGTCTATAGAGGTAGCCTCTACCAGGCTTCATGAGGCGGCTGGGAAGATTAGAAATTGGCCAAGTAGAGAGATAACATGCCAGGGGAGTTGATCCGCTAGAGAGTACAGTTTGTCGCACCCGGTTTTACTCTTTCAATCCAGCTGCCTCCCGAAACCTGGTAGAGGCTATGATAGAGGGGACAAAGGGTATCTCATCATCATCATCATCATCATGCCTCCGGATTATGAATCCGGTGAGGTACACTTGATAAAGTTACTCCAGTATGCCCTATCCCTCATAGCAGACACTAATGCAGGCCCTGCGAGACCAGTGTCTCTCTCTAGCATGGACAAAAGTGTAGTATAAGGACGTCCTACTCTACGTCTCCCAGTAGGATATCTAAAGGGTATATAATATAGGATAAGGGTATCTCAATAAACTCAAACTAACAACAAAATGTGTTCTTCAGGTCATCCCTAAGACCATGGCGGGACAGTTACGAAGCCCAAAGAAACCAGAAGAAGCGCACGAGAGACTGCTGACCGTGCTGCCGTCCCGTCCTGACCCGGCGTTCTTCCACTACTGTGACGCCGTACGGAAACAGGACTCCGGTCTGGCTGATCAACTGGAAAGGAAAAGTAAGACATCGGCATTTCTTATTTGCCGTTCCCTCCATTTTAATGCCGTCACACATTCTGAACCTTCCCCAGACAAGATCTGACCAGACTTAGGCCACGCCATCCTTTACGATGATGAATGATGAAATGGTTTATTGAGAATAAAAACACTGGCAGCCTTACATAGGCTGAATTGTGGTTCTTTAACAATTCATTCATGTTAGACTCATTGACAACATAATACAAAATTCTTATCACATAGATTAAAACAGAAAGGTACGATCATTCAATATTAAGTTCCAGACATATATTAAAATCAAATTGGTGACTACATTTTGAAACGTTTTACTCATAAATAAGATATTCTATATAGATTCGATTACATAATAATTGAAACGAATTCGAGTTAAATTTGAGTCAAATTTGACCTCCGAACACTCACTCCCGAATGGTTGTTTTTTGTTAGCTGGTGTTCTGCTGACTTTTTTTTAACACCAGCTAAATATACAACCGAATTCAAATGTTAAACATTTTGAAACATTTGGCTGCCTGATAGTTGCCGACTTTGCTCCGACCTACTCCTAGCCATTATTGTGGGTCGTTCGGCTAGTGTTTTGGGAGGCCAACTTCGTTAATGTGTGATATGGGCTTTATGTATCGTTCTTGGATACTATTATTGTGTACCAATCACACTAACACTAGAAGAATGTCCTATAAGAAGTTATGAACATTGCACTTTGGCACACGGGTAAAACTGTACATATTTCTAGCACGACTCTGATGTACACAAACAACTTTTTGCAGACGATAGTTTTAACACTTTTTCTGCCCTTCCCCTCAGCGCCTTCCATCAGCGGAAGTGGAGAGAACGGAGTGTTCGGGTCCATGCCCCTGAAGACTCCCTCTGGATCCGAGGGGGACAGCATCAGTATACACGGTGGGTCTCCATCTACTGACCTATCAACTCCTAGGATTCAATTTTTTTAAAACACGACTCCGTGTCCGTCCACGGCACTTTATTCTTGCAAACTAACAGTGTACAGAGAACGGAACTAAGTATGCACAATGGTCATCATCATCACGTGCCATGTCCTCTCTCTTTGTCAAATATACATACTCTATAAGTAGAGATAGAACGCCAGATTACTAGAAGGAGAACCTTATGTAAACACAACTGTAACTGTTACAGTACTTTGAATATGCCAGTTACAAACGGCATGAGCATCAGCATTACATCTTCTATAACACATCTCTCAAAGATTGTTCTAGGATGTTACAGTGCAAGATAGTTTTGTTCACGTCTTTTCTCCAAGAATGCTACGTTCAGTACCGCTGTAATCATTTTAGTTGATATGTACTATGTACATTCATCGATGTAGGTTAGGTATAATACCAAACCAAAACCTTAAGTTTGTTATTTGATGTTTTATAGATTGTTTAATTGCCAATACGGGCATTATTTTTCAGAAGTATATATACTTTATTTCTCTGTGGCCTATCTGTAAAACATTTGCTATTCGTATTCGTAACTCTAACACAGTACATGTACCTATCCATGACTCCTTTGACAAAATCAACAATGGTTTTTGGTGGCTTTATGAATTACAGATGCTCTTGAGACGAAGATGAAGTATGAAGACATGAACAACAGTCACTACTCCATGGACCTGGACCCGACTGGCCCCCGGGCGAGGTCCAAACAGCGACTGGTCAGCTCGTCAACAGAAGACGGTTAGTTCGGACTTCGGACACTTCTGTCTCTTTTAAGCCCCTGTCTCACATTCAGAACCTTCCCCCGACCAACAGCCAACTACTAGACTATAGTAAGTAGTTTGGCTGTAGTTCGGGACCTGACATTTAGACCGAGAATGAAAACGAATTTGAGATACATTTGAGTCAAATTTGACCCCCGAACACGCGTGAGGTAGGAGAGGAAGCGTGGTCCAGTGAATCCCAGTTGTTGTCGCTCACCCAGCATGCACACTACTGTTAAGGGTCGCAGTCCTTAGGTCTGTGGTCCACTGTTCATTGTGCTTGTGGGGACCGGGGAATTTCACCCGTACAATGAACCTGTAAATACTGTACATAGCTGTCTTTTCTGTCACGACCAGTGGGAGATTCATTGAGCTTTTAAAAACACTGGATTTCGAGATCACTCTCCTTTCCTTTTTTGTTCGACCTCGCCGAACACCAGCCGACCTTGCTCCCGATCTAATTACATTTGTACCTATAAACCATATTTCGTTTATTTCTATACCCTTTAGTCAATGACTAATCTTCCAGGGTTCAAAAAATATAAACATATGAACATACTGACAGCAAAATTAAAGAGAATGAACATACATAATCATCACAAATTATATACAGGTTAAACAAAACGATCATGAGTTAACTTAATATATACAACTTAACTTACGTACAACTGGTGGATGGCCTTTTTGAATTGATGTGGACTTGTCAGTGTTTTGGGGGAGTTCGGTAGTGTTTGGGAGGCCATATTCGATATTCGGCTGTGTGACAGGGGCTTAACTAAATGTCATAAGTGTGGCTGCCGAAATGTACTTCGAGAGTTGAGATCTTATCATGTCTTATCTTATCATGAAAGTTCATCTGTGTTGGTAGTTACATGTTTAAAGTTAAAACTTTTGGTCCAACACAAAAAATTCTCGCACCTTGAGCTTTCGACCAGTCACTCTGGTCTTCCTCAGTAGACTGACCCACTGAGGCTTGTCACCTGGCTTCTTTGAAGTGTGACATCAACACTGGGTCAAAGGTATCTGGTAGACTATGTCGGACCCCGTCGCGGTTCACTGGGTCAGTCTACTGAGGAAGACCAGAGCGAGAAGACGAAAGCTCTAGGTGAAAGAATTTTTTGTGTTGGACCAAAAGTTTTAACTTTAAACATGTGCATCTTGTAGAGAACCCGTCGCCATTGGTAACGCCCACGACATCATCCGACAAGCACATATACGCGGAGATCAAGGGCAAGAAGAAATCGAGCAAAAAACAACCTAGTTCTGGACAACAGAACATCGCCTTCCAGGGCGACGACAACAATGGTTTTTACGGTCGGTGCTGCGGTGCAAATCAGCCGATATTCGCCAGTTTCCCATCCCCAGAATGCAGTGCGAAAATAGGGGGGGGGTAACCCTCATTTGCATAGGACTGGAAGGCATCGGAATGATCCTGTTGACGTTAAACAGCTTGCTTTTAACTGTGTTTTGAGGTGTCGGGGCATTTTATGCTCAACATTAATCAAATTACTATGGGCCGAATCTGACAACAAATAGAGAATGAAGTTTTAGTGTTCTTTTCAACATGGAACATGTGGTTTGTAACGTTACAGCATCAGTATAGCGTTACCACTATAATGTTACAAACCACATATTCCAAAAAATCATTCTCTATTTGTTTTCAGATTCAACTCATAGTAATTTAATTAATGTTGAGCATAAAATGCCCCAACACCTCAAAACACAGTGAAAAACAAGCTGTTTAACGTCAACAGGATCGTTCCGATGCCTTCCAGTCCTATGTAAATGAGGGTTACCCCCCTATTTTCACATTGCATTCTGGGGATAGGAAACTGGTGAATTCGTACTGACTAGACTGATGCAGCATGGGGATTAACAGTCGCTTAGCCCTTTGAATTTTCAGCATGTGGCTGTCATGTATTTGCATGTAACTTGGCCCTTCGTTACTAATGATGTGCTTTTCAGCATGACTTCTGAAATGGTGGCTGTTACGTAGCTATACAACAACGCTGGTGGTTGATATGTCTTCCCTGTGATTGCCTTGCGCCAATATATATTCTTCACACTTCTTCTTGCATTGTAATGTTTGTAATCGTGTTCAATTTGATTGATTTCGTCTACAGGATACGATTTCTTCCGCCTCGAGCATGCAATCAGTTTTTTTCTGTTAACACATTCTTCAATTACAGATACTTGAATCGAATATTGCAAGAGTTCATAGAAATACTACACATTCCATCCATGTGTTTATGTAGTATTTTCGTAAGCCCGTTTTCATTTCTAACTGAAAATGAGTGAGCACGTTAAAAACGTAGTCTTTGTGGGTTACAGACGACACTGAGACAAGCCCCAAGAGCTCCCGAGAACACACCAACGAAGGGTTTGATGACTACGACCTGCCACCGTATCCGCCAAGTCACAGGGCGAAATCCAGATCTGGATCCAGTCAGCAGTCGCCGAGGAGCAGCGAAAGGATGGATCTAGATCTGGCTGGTAATTATGCTGAAGCTAACTTTTAATCTTGGAGCCTTTTGGGTTGTGTGGCGTAACGACAGAGCGTTCGGCTCGGAACCAAGAGGTCCCGAGTTCTAATCCTGCCATGCCACCGATCCTGTGCCCTTGGAAAAGGCACTTTACATGACTTCCGTTCCTCCCTTAACTCAGGTGAAAATGAGTATGCTTATTGTCCGTCCTCTGTTTTAGTGCTTTGAATATCCAGTTTTTCAGCCCTGAAATTGCATGCACAGAATGTCTTTAAGAAATCCAAGGCAAATAAGGGACAAACCCATTAGAACGTTGGTTAGAAATGACAAAAAAATTAAAACTGTACTGACTAAAGAGAGGTATTTTTTGCAGAAGCTGAACCAGTGGACATGTCAAGTCAGTTCGCGGCTCCATCGTTTGAGCCGAGACCTTCCCGCCGGCCGGGACCCCTGGCTCCTCCCGCCCAGCCACCCCCGCCTGTACCGGCACCTGTGTCCAGGCACGCACCTGTATCAGCACCTGTATCAGCACCTGTATCAGCATCTCCACCTGTATCAGCACATGAACCTGTGTACTCCACTCCTTCCATCGACCCACATCCCTTCGAGGCCCAGTCCGGACAGAGGGTGACAGCAGAAGACGGGTGGCCCGTTATCATCGAAGTCTACGGGCCAGGTACGACTTTCTTTTACATATGACCTAACCCAATACAATACGATTATGGGACTATGCCACCATCTTAGAATTACTGCAGTACCGGCAAAATATGTACGCACTGAATGTTAAATCTATGTGCCTGCCACTATTTCATGAATACGAGGAATGTCCTTGGGAAAGGATGGGTGGTACTATAATAGTCGCATCGTGAAAGCATGAGCTATCGTTCGGTGTCGCCACATGTACGCTACTGGAAAGGGCCGTAGTCCTTCGGACGGGCACCGGGGGTTTACGCCGTGGTTTACTGTTTATTGTATTTGTCAAGTTGGGGAAATTTCCAAGTTCAAAGGATCTGTACATCAGTACAGTGTCGTCTCTGCCATGGCCAGTGAAAGAGTAATCTTGATTTTGTTTGAACGAAACTGGTTCGAGATTACTTTTTATCCCGTATTTTACCCCTGTAGCTGACGAGGTAAGATGGCTGTACGAAGGCCGAGAGTTGCCGAACTGTGCTCAGTACCAGCAGGAGTCGGAGACGCCCGAGTGTCACCTGCTGCACATCAACGGTGTGAACCGGCAGAACGCCGGGGTGTACACCTGCCAGGGAACCATCTACGGGGAGGGCACGGTCTCGTGCGACGTCATCATCGACATAGCCGGGACCAAGTCCAAGACTGGCTCGGTAAGTAACTACCTGTGATAGATATTCTTCAGCATCATCCTCCTCATCATCATCATTCTCATCATTCTCATCATCAGTCCTCCGGGCCCGCCTCCCGAAGCCTGGTAGAGGCTAGACTTTTTATGTTATGGTTGATGATACTCGTATGATGTGAAAAGGGCACATTTGTGTAAATCTCTTCTGATTGCTCTACTGTGATTGTCAGCAGTCTATATATTTTGTGGTAGTATTGTTGTTTAGCTTTCCTCAAGCTCTGGATGACAATACGTTCCTTTCTCTTCACACAGTACACAAACATGCCGATGTACGATGACGACTACAGCCTACACCCACGAGATGACTATGACGACGGGGATCGGAATTTATCTTCAATGGTTTAAACTCTGTGGTCTAAACAGTTCATTCGCCATCACTTAAAAGTCCTCCATGCTAGTGGAGCACTTTCATTTATTGAATTTACACAAAATTGACAGTGTTTTGTTTAATTCTGGGATATTTTCTTGGTTCAATGATACGTTGACGAGTACTAAGTAAACGTTAGAGAGAACCTTGTAAAAAGAATTTGTATCCATTTGCCTGAGTCATTATATAATAATAGCGGTTACTATTTTTACTAAATAGAGTGTTTCGAATAAGCTAGAATTGAATGTAGTATCTATATCTGTTGCAGTGTTAAGTAATGTATTTCCATGACAATTTCTATAACATATTTAAACGTGTTTTAATCAAGTTGGTGTTAATTTTGCATATTGGATCATATCTAAGCTTGACGTATTTAGAGCATAGTCAGATTGTATCAATATCAAGTGTATCATGACCAGAAGAATGTTTATTGTATTATTTGGTTTACGTTTTCAATAAGTGCTGTGTTCTATATAGTGCGTAACAATGAAATCCGGTGCCAACGATGAGATCCTCAATAATGCTGCTGCCTGCTGTCGGTTCGTTTTGGCTAGCTGGAAACCCTCCTTTTTGTCAGAGTAATACTTAAAACACTTGTCCTGCTTAGCGCAACATATGTCGCTTGGCACATACAGTACGTACCATCTATATAGCACCCTGTATAGGTACGATTTGGGGGTATTTCTCGTGCAACGCATCACACCGCAGCAAAACGCAACGAATGCGGAAGTAACTTTGCCACTGCAGGGCAAAAAAAATTGGGGGTCTATGATTTAATTAAGACATGAAATTATTGAAAAATATTGTGCCAGGAATGTCAGCAGGACAAGGGTTAAAGGCATCCATTGCAATTTCAGGGCGGCAAATCTGGGTTTTCAAAGTCAACTTTCTGGTCAATGTTGTAAAATGGAATCACCTATCCCACAGCATATCTTTGAGACAACAATTAATGCGATGTTGCTGGCGAAAAAACGGCTTCTTGTTTTGAATTGTAGGCTACATGTAATTCTAGCTACATGTATTTTTGGTGGTACCCAGAAAATAAGGATACACCTCATGAAATGATGACAAAAATGTGCTAAAAAAGACAGTAAATGTCAATATCAGATAGATTTCCTCGTCCAGAATATTTTTATTTTGCTACAATGAAATTACATTGGATGCCTTTAAATCTTTCACGGATTTATCTTATTTGAAGCTAATAAGCCTTTCAGCATCTCAGTAGTGTGTGAGGGTCAGCTTAAATGTCAGTTTTAAATTTTGTTTTGATATGTTGTGATACCCATGAACATTTGGAAGGTATTTTCTATAGCTAGGATAACAGTATGGTGGGGTATAAGGGTTATAGTACTTTTCATGAATTCTTAGATATTATATGCAAATGTTTTTGCAAAATAAAGCTGTACAATTGTAAAGGTTCGGTTTTATGCGTCCATTCTACTTTGAGAATAAAGTGACATCTACTGCGTTTTGATAATCTTGTTTGTGTGTCGATTTCTTCATTGTAAAGTGCACGCTTCGTTTGGTATTTGCATCGGCTGTTCCGAGCCAAACCTATGATTTTATCTGAAAAATATGATTGATATAATTCTTTACTGACCTGCCATAGTACGTTTGAAATGGATAAGTTACTAGTACGTGTATTAGAATCAACCTCTTTTAATTTTTACATCCTACACACGGTCCAAACAACACGCCGCCAAACGGCTGAGGTTATCATTGCAGGAAGACACGCATCCAACAGGTGCAAAAATAATTTGAAACGCTAGAGGTCCCCACTGCACCGTACAAATAAGTGCTGCGAGATACTTTGCAGTCATCATAGATCATCATCTTAGTTTCTTGACTTATAGTTTGTTGCTATATGACATACAAACATTTTCTCCGCCCTGATATTGACATTTAACGTCATTGCCCTTTTTCGTAGCACATATTGTCATCATTTCATACTTGAAGCGTTTGAAGTTGCCCCTAAACAAGCCACAAGTCCCTTTATTTTTGTGTGCCGCCCATAAATAGCTAGTAGCTGCAGCTTACGACACCAAACAAGCAACCGTTTTCCTCCAGTTACATCTTATTCTTGCCTCACAGATATCAGTATGCTGCATTTGTGTAAGTACTGCGATCGCTTTGAAAGAATTTCAAAAATTGCACGAATGCATTCCCTAGGGAATTGGTTTTGAGGTAGCCTCCGGCCTTGTGGTCATCGGAACAAGCAGGAAAGGCTTATGTTACCATGCATGCAAAAGGCACCTTTTCGGGCAAACTGTGGATTTTTGCACACAGAATATCAATGATTGTCTTTATTGATATTTAAAATATGTTTTCTTCTATTAAGAGAGAACAAATTTCCTGCTCAGGAGCAGCATATTCAAGCTTATAATACTTCAAATATGTTTTTAGTTTCAACTATATGATGCTGGTCGTTTTTTTATAACTTTACTGTGTGACACATGTAGTGTAACAGTGATGTTTTGTGTAAGGAATTTTATTCACTTGTGTGTTTTCTATCATGTATGTTTGTGTCAGTCTTGCTTTTTTATTTTTTATTTTCTTCGCTTTCATGATGCTGTTGCATTCCATGCTTGTTTTTCAATTTTCTTGGCTGCAAAACATGAATGCACACCCCAATCCTTCCACGACTGGGTTAGCTGTAGTCTGCATCTCAGGGTGGACATGGCGAAGTTTACCTGTGGGTATAAAGAGAGAAAAGAGCATAAATGAATCTATGCCAACTTTGGCCAGCTTTGATTAACTTAAATTAACAAGATTTGATGTCATGAATGTAAATATGCAAAGCATGTGAGTCTATTAATTTTACAGAATGCAATGAAGCAGACACATATATATATATAACACATTTTCTGACAATGAAAATTGCGACATCATGAAGTATACATGCCGTATGAGATTTTTGCTGCCAGGTAATTATGAATAGCCTGCGTGCCAGACCCCAGCACTTAGAACAAGGAGCTTAACTCCTTGCTTGGAATAAAGAAAGTGCTTCTTCTTTCTGAGCCTCTCGACCGGGCCTCTATACTGCCCAACACGCCACAGCTTCGGAGCTGGCTTCCTTCTTCAGTTTATCTAGACGTATAAATTAGACCCCAGCTGCAAATTCTGTGTTCCAGGCGTGAGATTTCCCTGACCGAATTGAGTATCGTGGCACAGGGGCCTGGCACCTGGCACCGAGGCTACACTGTTTTCCCAGCAATGACATCATAGTAAACATGGTACCGTATTTCAAAACACACAGCTTTTCATGAAAGAAGTACTATAGATATATGCGAACATTGCCTAATTATCGTGGTTATGTACAATATTGCATGATGATGAAATAAGGATGGTTAGGCACTCACCTGGTATTTTATTCCACTTCTTAATTGTATTCTTGAGTAACTGTTGCGTTTGTCGTCATGTAGAGCTGGAAAAAAAACAGTGTAGAACAGGTTAGCAAAGTTTGTTGTATTCGAGGGTTGCGTTATTCAGCATAGTTCGACAGCGTTCAGCGTGACCGCGGATATGAAACTTGGACCTCTTTATGTTGGGATGTCAGCAGGTAAACTAAATGTATGTACAGTAGGGTATCCCTCGCTGCATGTCTGAGGTTTACTGGAGATGTCTGAGGTTTACTGGAGAGACAAGAAAAACCAACGCCCGGGGTTACTGGACAGAAGAGCCTTGACGGAGAGAATTAAGGGTAAGGCCGGAAAACCCTAGCGGAACTTGGCGTCAGGTGGCTCAAACTTTACATAAACCAAAGTCCTAACAAGTCGGACGAAAGAAAACCAGCCGCTGATCGTCAATACCTGATAAATACAAGTTAGATCTGTAATGAAATACTGACCAAATTCTGTAAACAAAATGGACGGAATAAACCACGCACACGAAGAACAAGATGAGTGAAGTCAGGAAAACGGGTGTTGGAATCTTCACAATACAAATTTCCAAAAAATATTCATCAGGCATTATACTAACAGAAGAATATAAACTTCAAGACCAAGAGTGCTATTACTTCAGCATAGCCTTGGCAGCCAGACCATCGTATGCTTCCGGTATCTCACGGTCACCGCCCGCCCGCCCAGAGGTATTTCATGCAGGGGTATTTTACCGGGTCAGTTACAGGACGACAATGATTAGAAAGGCCAGCTGGAAAGATCTAGCATATCAGCAGAGCATGGCGGGGGCCTGCAAATACTAGTATCCCTAAGCCAATAATCTGAACAGAAAGGTTTTGTCGGAAAGGGGAGTACTAGTCCGAGAATATCATAAGGCCGAAAAACTTGATCCCGGTGGAAGTTGACGTCATGTGGCACACACTTTTAATGCGTATTAAACTAAAATTCCAACTTCTCTCCACTCGTGTGGTAACCAGCTAACAAGCAACTTTAAACTTTCTCTCCCAAATCCTGACACTGGAACTTTGAAGACACAACCAAGTACTTGGCTAACATCACACAAATAAAACGTTCAAGTCACGCTGACTATGATCGATACTCTGTGCGGCTGATATAAATGTATACGGCCATCGAATCCGTAATCAATAATTTGCAATTCTTATCGTAAAAGCGAACTCACCAAAATTTCCCCAAACCACTAGCTGCGAGTGATACTAGTACTAGGAACAAATTAGGCAAAAGCTGATAGTCAAGAAAGGGGTAAGCTCTCAGACCAAGCACCCCCATTTCTAAATCCTTGTACCACGCCTCATCGAAGGCGAAAATCTAATTCTAGTTCTCTACTCTGCGGCTCAGTTTTTCCAAGGTTAGTAGAACTGTCCCTCCTTGGCATAATTTATACATGTAGGTCTGAATCTTAAATTGTCGGAAACTGTACGTGATAAATAGCGTCAAACATAAGGAAATACCCCAAGAACACCAGAATAACATAGAAAAAATTGTAGAAATCGCGAAAAAGTCTTCTTGAAATATACCAAGAAAATTTATTTCAAACAGAAATAGGGGAAAGTTTACTTCACATACGTATACAGGACACAAAGTAATGCATACTAGTACACAAGAAAATAGCGACAAGTCCACAGTACAACAACTAACAGACATATGGAAAAACACGCCTGTGATTGCAAAATTTAGACTAAATTATGGCACATTACAACAGTAGGAAGTAACATTAAAACATACCTTTTAATAGCTTCAACCTGTCCTTCGTAGGTTTCTCTGGACCTCTACGGCTGGGGTAGTGCCTGCCCGACCGACCGCTCCTCGCTGACCCGCCCGCTCCTCGTCTGCCCGCTGGCCCAGCCGGTCGCCCGCTCGCCCAGCCATTTCCCGTCCAGTCCCCGCTCCCTCACCCGCCGCTAAAAGCGCCCGCCCGCCGATGCACCCGCCGCCCCGCTCGGCGAAACTCCCTTGGACGGCTGCTACGATGTGTTCTCCAGCGTGCCTCACGTAAGAATGTGGCCAGGACGCAGGACCTGGGCATCTCAGTTTCCCCTTTTCGCCCCGCCCCATGGACGCGATTCGTCAGCGGCAAACGTCAAAGGGTATAACTATTACACATACTATCGGCGGAAACGGGTGACAAGGTGATCAAATGTCATGGTCCGCCCACAGAGGCGGAGTTTTAAAAACCGCTTGCCTTGCAAGTTGGCTTGCATCGCAGAGCTTTCAGTCCGCATGTGGAAAACACATGTTTGGCACATGATGACGTAACGACAGGAACAATGTTAAAATAA